AAAAAAAAAAAAAAAAAATTTAGTCCGCCGCCTAAACGGGCCTGCAGTTTTGGCTTGCAGACAAAACATGGACTATTAGAATGTAACCTTAAGAAAGTGGGGTGGTGTTATTGCCACAGTCACTACGGTTAATAACACAGTTTTTTTAATTATTTGACTATTATACCCCTCATTTGAATCCAACTTGCAGCAGTCACCACCAAGGTTGTGAAAACCGAGATTTTACCTAAGGTAGTTTTGGTTAGATGAAATCGGAATCGTAAAATTGAATCGGTAAAATCGAGATTTTACAAAATTTAATATATAATATATAATAAATTATATAAAATCAAAATTAACAATTTTAATCTTTCAAAATATTATTTAAATTACCTAAAGACAAACAAATTGGATAAGAATAAAAATAACTGTAATACCCCAAAATTTTGTGATATTTTAGCATTAAGTAAGGGACTTATTTGAAGAAAAATATTATTGAGGGGCTTAATAGCAAAATTTTCAAAAGTTGAGGGACTAAAAAGAACGAAAATTAGGATAATGATCAAGCTTAGATATTTTTTTCTTTCTTCCTCATTGCCCGCGTGTCTGCTCTGTTCTTCTTCCCGATTCTTCCTCCCGAAAGCCCCCCCAAGCCGCCGGCACCAGCCTTGAGAAACCGGTGAGAAAGCTTGGATTTCTCCTTCTTTTCTTGTTCTTGAACCCAGAAATTTCCCCCCTCTCTGCTGGAAATTCCAGATCTGCTCTGCTCTGTCTTCCCCGCCGGCTGCTCTTGCTTGTGGGTGTGATTTTCGGTTTTTCCTGGTAAAAATCAGCCATGAATCTCCCTTTTTCCAGCTTTAATTGGCTTGGGTTAACACTGATTTCACTTGGTTTCTCCAATTTTCGGTAGTTTCCCCTGAATTTTCTGCACATGCCGCCGGCCTCCACCCCAAACCCGCCAGCTCCAGCCTGAAACGGTGAGGCTTCTTCACTCCTCCGGTGGCCGGTGCTGATTTACGAGCAGCCTTGGCGGCAAGCTGCTTCCTCGGCGCCTTGCCTCCG